GACTAGCAAGATTTTTCCATCTTTCGAGTTATAGCTAAACACGGAATGATCAACCTGACACTGTTTCATCCCAAAGGCCTTCACCACTTCACTGAACTTGCCGAACCATGCACGTGGAGATTGTTTCAATCCATAGATTGCCTTTTTGAGCCTGCACATCTTACCAGCCTCCCCCTGAGCAACAAACCCTGGTGGTTGCTCCATATACACCTCCTCAACAAGATCACCATGTAGGAAGGCATTTTTGATGTCAAGTTGTAGGAGAGGCCAATCATGCATAGTAGCCAATGAGATCAACACCCGAACTGAACCAATTTTAGCCACAGGAGAAACTGTCTCCATATAGTCCACACCATATAACTGAGAATAGCCCTTGGCCACTAACCGTGCCTTCAATCGTTCCACATTGCCATCAGGAAGATGCTTCATTGTATAGACCCATTTACACCCAACAATGTGCTTACCGGGAGGAAGGATGGTGAGTTCCCACGTATGATTATGTTGTAGAGCAGAGAGTTCTTCTTCCATGGCTTGCCGCCACCCTGGAGAGGCAAGGGCTTCCTRTACAGTCTTGGGAATGGGAAYTGAAGAGAGTAATGATATAAACTTGCAATGGGAAGCAGAAAGGTGAGCAGTGGAAACATAGTCTGAAATGGGATGAGAAGTACAAGTACGTTTACCTTTCCGCAAAGCAATAGGGAGATGAAGATCTGAGGGAGAAGGAGCAGTAGCAGGATCTGTTGACGGGTGCCGAAGTGGAGGAGAAGCCGAAGCACTTCTGCGAGTATACACTTGAGTAATCGGCGACCTCTCTGTAGTAACCGGCATATGATGTGCATCTACCGTAGGAGTGGGAGCTACGGGAAGGGGTTCCACAACCGGAACAGGAAGAGGAACCATAGAGGGAGAAGAAGAGACTCCGGTATTGGAGAAAAAAGGAACTGATTCAAAGAAGGTGACATCCGGGCACACAAACGATTTATGAAACGTAGGGTTATAACATTTGTACTCTTTCTGAGTCCTTGAGTAGCCAAGAAATATACACTTCGTAGCCCGAGCATCTAGCTTGTCTACTCTAGGCCCCAAGTGCTGAACAAAACAAACACAACCAAAGACTCTTGGGGTGAGAGGAAAGGGAGACAAAGTGGGGAACAACACGGAGAAAGGGGATTGACTTCCAAGGATTGACATGGGCATCCGATTTATCAAAAAACAGGATGCAAGAACAGCATCACTCCAAAAGTGCTTTGGGACATGCATATTGATCATCAAGGACCGAGCAGTTTCAAGAAGATGTCTATTTTTCC